AAAAAAAAAAAAAAAAAAAAAAAAAAAAAAAAAAAAAAAAAAAAAACAAAGAAAGAAAGAGAGAGAGAAAGAGAAAGAGAAAGGACACTGCAGTCTGCTTCAGTCTGGAAGGCAAAGGGCTGGGGAGCGACTCCACACACAGTCCTTGTCCAGCGCACAGGAGCCCGGGCTGTGTGCTCAGCACCGAGAAAAGAGTCACCTGGGAGAGGCACAAGGAAGGGGCATGGGTGTGCAGGTGGGCAAAGGACAGTGGTGTGAAGTATATGAAAATGTCATCACACCCATTATTTTTATACTTAGTACAAAAGTTAATGAAAAACAAAGAAATAAGAAGGTGAACATGAAAATGACCCCAGGCCATTGGGAAATTCTCTGCTGTCAACTTCCTGGAATCCATTATGCTGATGACTGTATTCATTTCTCTCTCTCTCTCTTTTTTTTTTTTTTTTTATAAAAAGGGAAGGGCTAAGGGAGCGCTCAGAGGTGGAATGCTGGCTTAGCATAGCAAGGCCTCAGGTTCCCTCCCTAGCAGGAAAAAAAAAAAAAAAAAGGCAGGGTGCAAATCCCTTCATTGCTTCCTAACCCAAAGGCCATAACTGCCCTGACTGATTAACACAGAGACGGCTAAGAGCCCTCAGAGAACTTTACAAGGTTCTCAGAACAAGCCCATCCTTCCAGCTCCAGCTACCTCCTCATCTGGTCCCACTCATCCAAGACAAGGCCCTTCCTCCCTTCCCCCTCCTGGAGGAAGTCTTGACACAACTATGTGGCCCCCAAGGGCCTAAGTGGACTCTGCCTTTTCCCACTGACATCCTTAACTCCCATACCTTTCTCACGTCTCCGTGGACCTATTCCAGAAACCGCCTGCAATCACAGCACTTAGGAGGCTGAGGCATGGAGACGGCTCCAAGTTCTCAGCATGGCCTAAGCTACATAGTGAATTCTAAGCCAGTCAGGGCGATGTGAGACACTCCCCCATACACATCACACACACACACACACACACACACACACACACACACACACACACACTACTGTTTTAGGCAATCCTGGGCTACACCACAAGTTCAAGGCCAATCTGAGATAAACTTAAAAACATTGAGGACTTGTCTCAAAAGGCCAAGGGCTGGGAATACATCAAACTGGTGACTGGTGACCTGCTTAGCAGGAACGAGGCTCTTGGTTTAATCCCCAGTACCACACACATATAAACCCAGTATAAGTGACGTATACTAGGGTGGGCTGTGGTGGTGCACACCTTAATCCCTGCACTCGGAAGGCAGAGGCAAGTGGGTCTCTGTGAATTCAAGGCCAGCCTGGTCTACAAAGCAAGTTCAAGGATAGCCAGGACTACACAGAGAAACCTAGTCTCAAAAAACAACCCCCCCCCCCAAAAAAAGACTTATACTAAACCATCATTTTAGGGAGTTGGGGATTTAGCTCAGTGGTAGAGTGCACTTGCCTAGCAAGCATAAGGCCCTGGATTTGGTCTCTAGCATCTGGGGAGGGTGCAACTGTTGTAGAACATTATTTTAAGGTGTGTTACTTTTTTTTTTATGTTGCATTTGTTTAACTCTGTGAAGCTGTGTTACTGTGCCTGTCTAAAACACCTGATGGTCTAATAAAGAAATGAACAGTCAATAGCAAGGCAGGAAAAAGGATAGGCAGGGCTGGCAGGCAGAGAGGATATATAGAAGGAGAAATCTGGGAGGCGAGGAAGAAGAAAAAGTAGCCAGAGAAGGAGGAGGACTTCAGGGGCCAGCCACCTAGCTACACAGCAAGCCACAGAGTAAGAAATAATGAAAAGTATACAGAAATAGAGAAAGGTAAAAGCCCAGAGGCAAAAGACAGATGGGACAATTTAAGTTTAAGAAAAGCTGGTAAGAAACAAGCCAAGCTATAGGCTGGGGCATTTATAATGAAGAATAAGCCTCCGGGGCTGGAGAGATGACTCAGAGGTTAAGAGCAGTGACTGTTCTTTCAGAGGTCCTGAGTTCAATTCCCAGCAACCACATGGTGGCTCACAACCATCTGTAATGAGATCTGGTGCCCTCTTCTGGCCTGCAGACATACATGCAGACAAAATACTGTATACATAACAAATCTTAAAAAAAAAAAAAAAAAAAAGAATAAGCCTCTGTGTGTGTGTGATATATTTGGGAGCTGGGTGGCAGGTCTCCCAAAAGAGAAAAACAAAACAAAAAACCAACAGGCAACAAAATGTTTATTTTGGCCGGGCGTTGGTGGCGCACGCCTTTAATCCCAGCACTCGGGAGGCAGAGGCAGGCGGATCTCTGTGAGTTCGAGGCCAGCCTGGGCTACCAAGTGAGCTCCAGGAAAGGCGCAAAGCTACACAGAGAAACCCTGTCTCGAAAAAAAAAAAAAATGTTTATTTTGAATGCACATTTCATTAAGTTTGGGCAAGTGTATCTCTTGTTGTACCCCCCAGCCCCCAGAAACACAAACCACTTCCATTCTCTGTTGCACCAGGAGCTCATTCGCTGTTCTTTTTCTTTTTGTCAGGGTCTGTTATGTAGCCCTGGCTGTCCAGGAACTTGCTCTGTAGGCCAGGCTGCCTTAGACTCCCAGAGATCCGCCTGCCTCTGCCTCCTGAGTGCTGGGATCAAAGACATGTGCCAGCATGCCCAGCTACTTTTTTTTCTTTACCGTCAATATTTGTGTGCATCAATGAATCTAAATTTCATAGGGACTGGCCCCAAGAGTGGAAGTGACTATTCATATGAACAGCACCCTACGGTTTATAGAACCTTCCCACTTTTGAGGCCATAGAAGCTCAGGGTAGTTAAGTGACAGCAGACAGGTGTAAGGAAAGAGTCCTTGAGCCAGGGACCGGGCTTGTGTTCTGGGAAGTGTGTGTGTTCCAGGCTCTGGGCCTGGGTGCATCATGAAGGCCAGAGACAGGCCGCCAGGCCGCCTTCTCCTGCACCTAGCCCAGGCCTCTAGCCTGGCTGAGGAGATGATTAGGGACCTGTTAGCTCTAGCTGTCCTTTCCCGGGTCAGCACGGGCCTTTCTAGGCTCTGTCGTTGAGGCTGAGGGAAGAGGATAAAATCAACATCCTTTGCTCTGGCAGCGCAGAGAACATGACACCTAGTGTCAGGAGTGCTGGCCTTGGCCCCACTGTGAGGCTCAGACAGAAGTCACTTTCCTTCCCTGGGCCTCCCCTGCACAAGAAAACCAGCAGTCCCTGCCAGCTTGACTTCAGCTCTTCCGATGACTGCCACCTGAATGCGACCATCCTGTTTTTCACAGGTTTGCCTGTGTGGGGCCCACTCCCTGAATGTGCTTCGTTAGTACCTGCCGTCACAATTCTTGTTTTTCAACTTTCAGCTCTGGTACTGTCCTTAAAGCACTTAAAACACAATGTTCTGGTCCCTCCCTCCGACTTCTGGCGGGCAGGGGCCGGAATGACATTTCTGTTTATCTAGAGGTGACTGAGTGCCAGGCACTGTGCTAGGCCCTTGATCTCTTTTGACCCTCCCCACAAAGTATCATTATTCTCACTTGACAGGTGAGGCAACTGAGGCCCCATAAGGAATGCCACTTGTCCAGGGTCACAGAGGGCTGAGTAGCTTGGATTTCCTCATTGTTTCACTCAGTATCTCAGTGTGTGTGTGTGTGTGTGTGTGTGTGTGTGTGTGT